AGTTTTGATTGGTCAAATAAATTACATTTCCAAATTTGCTTCAATAGTATTTAATTTAAGGGTTTTTCTCCTCACAAATCGCATTTTTATTATCTTTATCGACAGCATAACATGACTCCGCCTATTTTACCTGAAATATTTTCATACTTGATTTTATATTTTTTTAAAACATCTCAATTTAATGTGGAACTTAAAACAGGAAAATAGTTTCAATAAACTTCATTTTTGAAAGAAATTTTGATTTATTTGCTGTTTTTATATTGATTTTTTGCTAAGTAGATTAAGTAGACATGAAAATTGAATTAAGGAATTTTTTTGTGTAAAAAAAAATAAACAAATATTGATAATTTTTTACGCGTTATCAGAAAACTGACACAATATACAAAAAATTTAGCTTTGATTATAGTCAAAATGTAATAATGATTTTTTTAATAACCCGCCACTGGACTAACTTTTTTATCGTTGCTATGACGTCTCCTATGACATCACCATGGTTACGCACGTACTTCTGAGCGTTTCTAGAGTAACTGTGCAACTTTTTCACATGGGCGACTCGCAGAGGATGGGAAATAGGGATTAATTAAGTACATTTAAAATAAAGTTTTTTTTTTTTAATGGAAATGCCAAACAGTCTTAACGTTGGCACCACTAGTAAATTCATCCATGGTAATTTTAATAAAGGAAGTTGGCAGTTACGGTTTTTTGAATTAATTTGAAAACAATGTCATTGAACGTCAACACAAAAAATCGTCTAAGAAAATTTAGAGACGAAACACCAAAAATTCGGTACACTTAACAGTTTTTCGAAATTTGGAAACGAATAGTTCGCAAGCAGGAAGTTAGAAAAAGGGCCCGTTAAAATGTAGACGCAATTTGTAATGCAGGTTTGCTAAACATTTTCAATTTTTAGCAAGAAATTGACAAAAATACAAAATAAACATGGATGAGAAAGAATCTTGGAAAGAGCGCAATTAACTTAGTGTCTTGTGCATCGTTTTTGAGGAACGAGTTGAAAAAGTAACAACTTTGAAGCTAAAGCTGAAGAAGAATTTATAAAATGCATCAACTTTGAGCTCATTTCAATAAATTATAGAAAATTTATTGCCAATCATCATAATACCTACTTGTATCTTTTATATAATAGTGAGTACAAAATAAAACGAAATATTATACACGACGATTTAGATTGTTGAAAAAACCTTTTCACTCGTAGATAAACAATTTCTTTATCGCCCTGTATAAATAAATAACTAAAAGTGGCTTAGTGAAAAAAAATAATTTAAAAATATTTTGAAACTTTAGCCTTAACGAGTCGCCCATGTGAAAAACTTTCTATAGTTGCTATAGAAACGTACTGCAGTATATTGTAAATATCGTAAGTATGGTAATAAAAAATTGAAACTGGACTGAAAATTCAGTTCAGTGGCGGGTAATTGTTTTTAATTAAAATTACCATTTTTCATTTAAAAACGAAAAAGTACTTCATAAGCATTTTTTGCTACCAAAAGTTATTCGTACTTGTTTCAATTTTTTTTTAATCGCTAATTAAATTTTTGTGTATACGTGACAATTTTTTTTGCAAAAAGTATCATTTTGACTATAATCAAAGCTAAATTTTTTGTATATTGTGTCAGTTTTCTGATAACGCGTAAAAAATTATCAATACTTGTTTATTTTTTTTTACACAAAAAAATTCCTTAATTCAATTTTCATGTCTACTTACTCTACTTGGCAAAAAATCAATATAAAAACAGCAAATAAATAAAAATTTCCTTCAAAAATGAAGTTTATTGAAACTATTTTCCTGTTTTAAGTTCCACATTAAATTGAGATGTTTTCAAAAAATATAAAATCAAGTATGAAAATATTTCAGGTAAAATATTTTCAAAAATCGAAAAATAGGCGGAGTCATGTTATGCTGTCGATAAAGATAATAAAAATGCGATTTGTGAGGAGAAAAACCCTTAAATTAAATACTATTGAAGCAAATTTGGAAATGTAATTTATTTGACCAATCAAAACTAATTCTCTTGTAACCACGGCAATGTTTGACACAA